AAAATTTTTAAGTGGGGCTGCTAAGTGCTACTGTTGAGTTTTTTATAAAGCAGCTTTCCCTACCAGTTTGTGTATATTCCTGTGATCTCTGCCTCAGAAATCCGACTAAGTAAGACACAGACTCCTCTACAGGCTACTTTTATAACGGCTAATGTCACTTTATAGTCCCCAGTTTGCAAACTAAGTTCCCAGATGACTGACAAGTTTTGGGGCAACCCCTCCAAACCAAGACCCCCCACCCCCAACCCCCGCCGTGGGAAGCGGTGCCGGAAGGGAGCTTACTTGGAGCGGGAGCGCCTCCTGTTGTCGTGCCTGCGTCGAGAAGGACTCGGCGAGCCAGACGAGCTGCTGGAGCTGGAGCTGCGGGAGGTGCTGGAGCTTCCCGAGCGGCTGGATGCGGAAGAAGAGCTCGAGCCACTGCTCGAGCCAGTGCTGGTGCTGGAGCCCGAGCTGGAGGTAGAGCTGGACCGGGACCTGACCAGGGAGACAGAAGTGTCACAAGCAGCAGCGGAAGGGAGCCTCTCTTCCCAGCAGACGCAGACGAGCCTGTACGTGCTCATGCTCCCAAGAGGCCACCACTGTCCTCATTATTTTCCAACCTCCATGTCGTCCCCCCACCCCGGGGGGGGGTGGGGATGATATCTACCCCAGCCTTCTCTAGCCAAAGCCCCTGGCAGGGACAGAAAACAGCATTCAAACTGCGCAAGGGCAGGAAAGGAAGGAGCCGCTTCCTAGCCACACAGAAGCCTTGACTGCTGGGAGGTACAGAAAGAGCCTGCAGGTCAGAACACCAATCCATCCTGGAAGGTGGCTACCGAGGGGCTCGGGCTGGCGCTCAAGTGAAGAAATGCAAGCTTTAGGCTCAGGCAATCCAATCACAACTAAAGAAAAAAGCACTTGAGAGAAAAATCTACCCCCAGATGTCTCATTCTTTAACACCATCCTCCATAGGGAACCGGAGCAAACCCCAAAGCATTGTGCTACAGTTAAGGCCTTTATTAACAATCTCACAATCTTCTGTGTGAATAATTCGGACTACAGAGCAGTGGGCAGGCTCAGCGGACAGAAAGGGGCGTGGCTCTCAGGGCCCCGCCCCGCGGCCCCACCTGGTGCTGCTGCTGCCGCTGGAAGCGCTGCGCCTCTTCCGCGTTTTCTCCCTGCCCCGGTCCTTCTCACTAGACTCCTTGGTGGCCCCTTTATCTTTAGAACGATCCTTGGACTTCTCATCAGAGCGGTCTTTGCGTTTGGTAGGAGAGGGAGCCCTGGATGGTGAGGAAGAGTGTGAGATCACGAGCCCCTCTGACCAAACCCTGAAACAACACTACCCAGGAGGGGATCCAAAGGGCTACAGAGACCCCAGGTGATCACAGAACAAAACGATCTGTGGCTTAGGACACTTCACTGTAGAATGTGAGACATTTCCAATCTTCCCCTTTCTGAGGGTCCCTAGTAACGAGCACCCCCAAAGTAGCACTAGAAAAATCTGACAGAAGGATTACCTAGTGCTGGACTTTTTATTATTTTCTTTGACTCCTAGCAAGCTCTTCTTTTTCACTCCTGATAAATCCATTCTCCCCTTCTGAGGTGTTCAAAGCAGCAATGGCGGCCTCACTTATCTGAACTCTCACTTCTAACTCGAGTCTGAGAAACGATCCCTAATCGATTGCAATTTACGCCAAAGTGCAGCCTAATAACAAGATAAAAGGATTTACAGAGTGAACGTATTGGCAAGGCAACAAATTCGCTTTGCAGTCAAAAGGCGAGCACACGAGAAGATGGCAAGGAACACAGTGAGCAGCGAGCGTCCACAAAGCCGGGAACACACAGGGACCTCTTCCATTTCCTTGGGGAGGGTCCCACCCCCACAGGTAGACCCTCACTTCAGTTTGTGGTCTTTTCCTTAAGGAAACGGTGGTGGCGCCCGTCACTGTTATTTTACAGGAGGTACAATACCCATTTTGCACTCATAGGTTTGATGAGCCCTCTACCGCCCCCCCCCGCCCCCCCCCCCCCAATACCACAGCACCACATTTGCATGCAGAACAGAAAAAAACCCCAAGAGTGGCTCTCCTGAAAGGGTTACTGGTGTGGTCAGATCTCTTGTTTAACTGCTGTAATTTCCTCGTAGGATACTTTGGATCTAGGCTACGACTGGAAGCAAAAACCATTTCAAAAGCGACAGGTAGCATCAAAACATTTAATACCCAAATGCAAACAAGTAAAATGTTCCCCTATGAACATTTAAAAAGCAGTCATTGTATGGTGCGCCTGGGGGCGGAGGGTTCAGTCAGTTAAGCCTCTAACTCTTGATTTCGGCTCAGGTCATGATCTCAGTTTGTGAGATTGAGCCTGCATCAGACTCCTCGCTGACAGTGGAGGGCCTGCTGGGGATTCTCTTTCTCTCTCTACCCCTCCCCTGCTCTCTCTCAAAATAAATAAACTTAAGAAAAAAACCCAAAAAAGAGTCATTGCAAATGCAACTTTAGTTAATGATAGGCAGATAGAAGTGTTACACCAGAGGCTACAATGTACTTCAAAATATAATAAAAATATTGACGCGTAAAAAGCAAATGTGGTAGAAATGGGACTTGTACGATCTAGGTGGTGGTTATGAGGGTAGTCACTGCAATTCTTTTAACTTTATGCTTACATTTTTTCCCCAAAATCACATGCGTGTGTGGGGGGGCACTAAAACTGGATGGCACTGCTCATAAAGGTTTAACAAAGTGTCTGGACTGCAGCATGTGCTCAATAAATGGTCACTAGTACCATTAGTGAGTGTTACTTAGAACAAACTTCAATATTTGCAGTGAGGTTTTCTACAATTTGCTTGAGTTGCAAGCAAAGGTCTCAGGTACTGGTCTCCACTACTCCTAGTTCCTCTTCCTCAACAGCCTGTAAGTAACCTGGACACAGCAGCCAACTGGGATCCTGTTTCACGCTGTGTAGGGGTGCCCAAGTTCCTGAATAAATTCTGTGACTCCAGAGTGAAGGCCAGCTTCGGATGATCAGATGAGAGCAGAAGCGAGCAGAATGCCACCTTTGCTGCTCTTTTCCAAGCTGATAACGTCGTTTAAGATGTTCTGCCTTAAAACAGTAAGGTGCTATGGGCACTGAGCAAGCAACACTGGAGAAGCTCAGTGTCCTCCGACAAGCGGGAAGTGTAATTCACTGGTTAAGCGTCCGGAGTCAGTGTATCTGTTTAATTCAGAGCTTTGCTGTGTGACCTTGGGTAAGTCACTTAACCGTTGTGAGCCTCAATTTCTCAAAAGCATTATAGGGACAATTACAGTTCCTACACCTCCATAGTCACCAAGATCACTAACCAAATTTATTACTCATGAAAGAAACTTGGCACCTAGTTAAGGCTCAATCAATGTTAGCTTTCCTTAGAAGAAAGGGACGTTTTTCCATGTTTGGAAGCTTTTTCCCCACGTGAACTCTGGTCTCCCAAAGTCACACATAATCTCCTGAATGCTCACCAGGGGTCCCTGAACCACCCGGTCAGGATCACCAAGTGCAGTACTGTCCAAAAGAAATAGAGTGTGAGCTAAAATCCTAAATCTTCTAGCAGCCACATTAGGTAAGTTAACAGATGAAATTGACTTTCAGTAATACAGTGGACACGCTATACCCCAAATGTTATCTTTTCAACATACAATCAGTATAAAAACTCATTAGTGAAATATCTGCACCCCCACCCCCCACTAAGCCTTTAAACCCTTCAATTTGGCCTAGGTGTATTTCAAGTGCTCCGTAGGCACACGTGACCGCAGACTCCCGCGCCGCGCCCCCCCCCCCCCTGGGCTCGGGGACAACAAGCACCACCGGAATTCTTAAACTCTACGAATTAAGAACCACAGGCTGAGCGAACACTTTGCTGGGCGTGGCCGAGTGCTAGAAAGCAAAGATTGAGGCTCTCTGTTCACACAAGTTCAGGTAACAGCACAGGACCTTGGTTACCTCCCCCATCCTCCGGAAAGGTGCGCGTCCAACAGCCAGAGAGAGAGAGAACAATTAGTTAAACCTCGAGCAGATGGCGTTTCGGCTCAACTCTTCAGAGCACCTTCCCCATTTAAAAGCACATTTTAGGCACAATTCATGCGAAATAAAAGAAAAAGCCACGACTTCCCTTCGTGGACTTGAACCTTCCCGTAACCTCCCTTGTGGGGGGTAACCCGTCCAACGGAGCTGCATGACATCAGGGGCCGTATCTCCAAGGACTCGCGCGGAAAACGGCACCCGGGAGCCTGGTAAACGGCCGTGGAGTCATGTCTGAATTAATGGCCTCGAAGGGAGGCTCAGCCGGTCTCCCAGGGCACCCCACCAAAGCCACTCCGCACCCACTGGCACGGGCCCCACGCGCGACCTCGCCGCCCCCGTCCGCGTTCACTCACAACTCCCCAGTCCAGGCGCCGGGCCGCGAGCGCTTCCAGGGCAGGGCCTGGCGTTGCGGGCCTGGGTCTCCAACCCGGCGAGAGAGCCCCGAAGGCGGAAGCCGCGCTCCCGGCTGCTCCGAGTCCCGCGGGCCTAGCAGGGCCCGCCGCAGAGGGGGACGATCTGAGGCGCCCTTCCGCCCGCCGCGGCCCCGACCACTTCCGGGCCGCGGCCTCGGCGCCTCCCACTCCACCCGCCCCGGGCCACACTCTTTCTTCTTAGACCCGGTGCCGCGCCGCCAGGCTGCCGTCCCTACCGAGAGGCCGAGGAGCGGGCCGGCTCCACCACGCGCCCCGCCGAGCTTTGCGGGCGGTCCCCGGAGCTCGGATGGGGTCGGATTCCCCCAACTTACATCTTCCCGCCGCCGCAACCTCCTCCCGCTCTCCTCAGCCGCTAAGGCCGGCGCCGCTCTGGCGTCAGGGTTAGGGAGCGGGAAGGCGCCGCTGTCGGGCGCGCAGCGATGACGTAGAGCGCCCTAGCCAATGGGCGCGAGCGAGGGGAATGTTAAAGGGCCACGGCCGTTTTTGGCGAGCCGCGTCGGCGACTCTTGCTCTAGCTCCCTTTCTGAGGAGGTGTCTGGGACTGCCAGGGGCTGGCTGCACGCCTCAGGGGGACGGCCGATTGTGGGACCGCGGTCGGCAGGGCCGCGCCGCTGGGGCAGCCCCCGGGGCGGCGCGGAGGGAGTTAACGCAGTGGCGGCCTTGCCCCAGCCCTCGCGCGTGCGCACTGGGCAGGCGGCGGGTCTGGCGGTAGCCCAGGCGCGCCACCCTTGACCCCTGTGCTTCGCACGCTGTGCGGCCGGCTGCTGGACCGAGGGCGGTGCGGGCGCTCCGGCTTCTGGCTGCGGGCCGTGGGGGGTCCCGCGGGGCTCAGGCGGCCCAGGGGCCTGAGTGGGTGCGGGGCTGGGTTCTTGCGGTTAAAAACCACGTAAGGTGGGCGGAGTGACCGTGCGGACGCCGCTGCTGCGCGGACGGAGCTCGGCCGGGTTCCGAGACTAGACGGGGGACAGTGCGACCGTCACGAACTGGGAGCGAACATCAGGGTAGAAGACAGGATGCGGAGGGGGAAGCGCCTCCGAGGAGGTGACACTGCGGCTGAGACCCGAGGGGGAGGGGGCGCCCGGCAGAGGGAATAGCCGCGCTACGGCGTTGCAAGAAGGGAGGGGAGGCCAGTGTGGCGGCTCGCAGGCCAGGCTACGAAGGTGGAGTTCAGCGGTGGTGGGGCGACGTGGAGGATGTGCAACATCCGGCGCCGAGGCTTCTTCACTCTGGCCGGTGAACAGCGCAGGCAGGGAGGCAGTCAGCCTTCTGGCAAAGCAGTGGCCCGGGCCCAGGCAGGAGGCTGGGAGAATAAAACCCGGCGCCAAAGAGGCTAGGGCTTTCGGGTTTTGTTCCCCACGGGGCCGCCAGCGTTCCCCCACCCATGTCCGGCAAGCGGTTGTTACTGCATGACCCTTGGTGGGAGCAAGGAAGGTGCACCCCGCCCCAGACGTTGTCCGAACAGGTAGGTGCATCAAGGAAGAGAAGGGAACAGATCGAAATCGGATCTTTCTGGAGAAAGGAATCACTGTGATTTGGAGACGGACTAACCGCTAGGACAAGGACAGGGGAGTCCAGGTTGCAGCTTGGTGACCAGACGGTTGGTACTGCAGACGCTGTCTGCACGTCATTGTTCTCTGCGCTCTGTGGTTTTCCCAGCCTGTGGATGGTGGTGCCTTTCCCTGTCCAGCCAATCTGGCCCCATCCGGAGGTTGTCAGCTGTGCCCCAGCACCTTCACCCCGGGCTGGGGGGTGTCTCAGAGTCACGGACAAAAGGGAGCCCGGAAGGAGCAGCCCCCTCCTGTGTCCCTTCTGCTAAGGCACCAACACATTTCTAGGGGGGATGTGTTGGCAGGCAGGCAGTCAGTCCGGTGCAGGGGCCTCCCTTTGGATTTAGATTTGCCCTGGTGTGGTGGGGGTGCATTTAGAGCATTGAATTCTCTACTGTCATTGTCACGTCTGCCATGGCCACGCACGGAGGAGTGAGTGGAACAGAGGGCAGCCCTGGCTCTGCCCTGCAGCCGTCAAGGGGCCCAGAGGGTCAGCACTGGGGACAGGGTGGCCGTGGCAGCATGTCGGAGCCCCACACATCCTGGGCCCACCATTAGTGCATGCCCAGGGCCGCACCGGCACCCTAGGTGGGGAGGGAGTGGGCGAGCAACCCCACCTTGGCAAGGGTGGGAACAATTCAGCCGCGCAGCCAACCCCCGCTACTTTTTAAAAAATGAGCGGAATGCTATAGTTTGGCATGCATATAAATTTTAACACGTTTTATGTTAAATCTAAAAGCATGATTTATTCATACACATGAATTTAATCAAGTTTGTTTCTAAATATTGCTGATTTTTGTTACCAAGTGTGTTATCAGCTGTTGAGCTTTAAAATTTGAGCATCTTTTGCCGTTTTGAAGATGAACAGAACGTGTTCAGAAGAAACATAAGGAAATAAATCTGGAGGCCGCCTGTCCCCTGGCCTTCCAGGAGTTCTGGCTTCACCCTTCTTACACCCCTGTGCCAACTTACTGAGGCCCTGGGGGCTGAGGGCTGGGACGCTACGTCCTTTGGGGACCTCGGGAGGCCTTTGGCCCAGGTTTGGTGGAGGGGGGTGGGGCAGGGCTCCTGGAGACTGCATTGGGCAGCCAGCCCCAGGCCTGGAGCACTATACCACAGGCATCTTTCAGGCTTTGCCAGTGTCCTGAGCCCCTCCCTTCCCTTCCAGGGTCGGGGGCCACCTGCTGGCATGTGGCGCTGCTCTCCATTTGGAAACGTACCCTTGTCAAGACAGAATATTCCCTCTGCCTTCATTCTCTGTGGCCCTCTGCAGTGCTTGCCCTTGGAGGCTGGTGACCGGGGACACGGAGAGGGTTCAGTGGTAGTCTGGATGGTGCTGGAGGTCACAGTGTGCCACCCGGGAGCCTCAAGTAGGCATTGCATCCCCAAGAAAGGACTCCTACCTACCGCTGAGAGTCCCTGCACCAAGGACAGGGGTGGCCTGGCCAGGTAGAACAGAAGAGTTTGGGTGGAGTCAGGGAGGCGGTGATGGCTCGGTGGCCTTGAGGGAGGCATTAGAAGAGGAGGCCTGAGTCTCTCTGTGGAGGTGAGAGCCTGCAGCCCCTGCAGGAGCCCAGGAAGAGGCACTGGCTGGTCCTTCTCAGTGGCCAGGCTGGGCCTTAATGGGTCAGACAGCCAGCAAGGGTCTGGAGTTGTGGGGAGCCTCTCTGGCTGCAGGCTTGTGCCTCTAAGGTGTGGGTTGTCGGGTCCTGAGACCTCTCCCATCTCCCTGCCAGCAGGTGACTCTGGACTCTCCTGGGGGTGGCTGAGCAGTGAGCTGGGGGCTTGTGCGGTTTTCATGCCCAAAGCCCCATGTTCATTTCTGCCCCAGGGAAGTCAAGGATAGTGTGCCTGAGCTGGGGCGGTCACAGCTGGGCGCGGAGCAGTGGAGCTCATACGCCGCATTGTTGGCGGACCTGTGGGCCGTGTCGCAGTGTCGACTGGGGCCAAGATGGCTTGGCCCTGCTCCCAGGACCCACGTTGTGCCATCCACAGCCAGCCTTCTTGGGACTTATCCAACCCTGCAGGCGTCTGATGCCAGCATCTGTGTGGTGTAGGCCGGGCCCCAGGAGCGGGGCCTGGGCAGCCCTGTGTGTTGAGGAAGGAAGGCAGGGCCCCCGCTCCCCGGGCCCGACCCCGTAGCTTCAGCTCCTCGTGCCTGTTTGAGGACAACACCACGTGGGCCTATCAGGTGGGGATGGGACTCCAGGGCCCAGCGCCCCGCTTCCTGGTGCTCTCCTGGGCGGGCTGCCGGGGTCGAGACCTCTGCCTTGTCGCGCCTTCTCAGGCAGCCTCTCAACCTACCTTCCCTGAGCCCCCTCGTGCAGGGACCCCAGGGGCTTTGCTGTCCTTTGGGAAAGGGAGATAGGCTTCAGGGACTCGAACCTCCCAGGGTTTGGAGGTGGACCTGAGCCGGGGTTCAAGGAAGGCACCTCGCGTCTGCAGAGTGGGATATCACACGTGGCCCGCTTGCCTCAGCTGAGGGGTGGAGTGAGCAGCCTAATCCTGACTTTGGTTTTGGGGGGACCTCTTAGAACCTCTGTGGCCACCTCTTTGCTGCAGGAGCCCCTCTGGGTCCAGATAGAGCCCAAGCTGTCTACCCAGGAACGTCCCTTGGTGTGCAGGTAAGGGCCACAGGGTCTGGGTGAGCACAGGTGGCCCTCCCTTCTCACTGACCAGTCTGTGTGGGAACGGGGGCGGCGGGGGGGGGGGGGGTGGTCTCAGAGGACCTGGCTGGCCTACACCATTGATGTCGTGCTGGTTCCCAGAAGCGAGCCGAACAGCAGCTGGCATGGGGTGTCCTGCAGATGCCATCGCCAAATCTGTTGCCCTGGCTGGTGGTCTAGCCCCGGGCTGGCCTCTCGGAAACCTCCGCCCTCACCTCCAGGTTCTGGCACTGTGGGTGTCCAGGCTGACTGCTCTGGGGCGCTGGGACGTTGCTGTCTCTGTGGTCAAGGGACTGACTGACTTCAGCCCAGGCTCATGCGGGTCCAGGCTGGACCGGACGGGCTGGCTTCTCTCCCACCTGCGATGTGTGGTCATTCCCAGGCAGCTTGCGGCCACCCTTGGACCAGCCTTCCGGCCTTCCTTCCAGCTGCTGGCCTTGGCTCACTCCTTCTTCTGCCCTGGTCCTGTCAGCTGCTTTGTGAGACAGGGCTGAAGGCCCCTGAGACTGAGGTGACCTTCGCTCCTCCTGGAGTCCTGGATTGAAGATCTGGATTGGCGTTTGCCCAGCAAAAAAACCTGTCCAGTTTGTTTTTCTGTGTCCCTGCGACCGTAGGGTCAGGGACACCGTGGGGGGCAGGGGCTAGGCCCTAGGGTAGGGTCACTTCTGCTAGCCTGTGGGTCTTCCTAAGTGAGGTGGGGTCTCGCCAGCTCAAGTGGACCACGAAGGCACACTTGTGGACCCCTTGAGGATGTGAACCTGCACACTGCAGTCGTGGTGGAGACTGGGATCGTGTCCTGGGACCTGGCTCTTATCTGGAGTACCCAACTAAATAAAGACCCTGTGTCCCGGCTCCCTCTCCCTGGAGCAGCCATGTGCCTGCGTTCTGTGCAACAACGTGGACGCAGAAGCACATGACATCCGGGAGCTGTGTCCTCCTCCCGTCCCCCTGCTGCTTCTGTCTGGAGCCTCAGGGTGACCTTGAACCCAAGAGCAGAGCTTGAGGGAGGCCTGCACCTGGACAGAGCAGGCAGATGGAGGCTGGCTTCCTGAGGCCTTGTTGGCGACAACACCCAGACCACTGTCTCTGGACTTTGTACTTGACCGAGAAATAAACGCCTGTCTGTTTTCAAAGCTGCTGGGACTGGGCCTTCTGATGTGCACAGCAAGCCGGCCGCAGTCTCCATTCCACAGGAGTGGTTTCTGGGGCCTGGGGGTGGGGTCCCCTCGCCCTGTGACCTGCTGCCTGGCATTCTTTCCCCACAGGGAAAGCAGTGGATGGGGCTCGGCCTAAGCCCTGCCCCCAGCAGGGTCTGCCCAACCCTCCCTGTGGAGCAGCCCCCTCTAACCTCTGAGTGCAGGTGTCCTGCTGAGGGGCAGTTCACGGTCTGTGTTTTGGTCGAGCCACACCATCGGACGGGGCAGGATCTTACACAGGCTTGCTCTAGGCCCTCACGTCGGTGTCCGCCCCTTGGGAGCCCCTGACCAGGCCCACGGGGTAGGCAAGGTGCGACCTTGTCTTCTGGGTCTGCTGATGAGCTGGGGAGGGGCAGGGGTCCAGCAGATGCAGCAGCTGTTTGGGACCAGCATGTCCAGGGACCCTCTGGGCCCCAGGGTCTGGGGGAGAGCGGATGGGCTGGCGGGGATAAAGCAGGCCAGCTCTCCTCTCGGGGTGTCCGTGGTCCTTCCCCCTCTCCCCTGGGCCCGGAGCTGCATCAGTTCAAACCAAATCAGGTGGGCTCCAGCCCCGGCTCCTTGAGCTCTATTGCTAGGTTTCCAGTAGCTTTGCAAATGACTTGGGGGTGCCCCTTCCTGCTGCTCCTGGGGTCCCTTCTCCCTAACTGCAGTTGCCAAGCTCTATGCTCCTCCCACTGCCCCCCGCCCCCCAGGCCTGGTGTCGGGCCACAGGCCCACCTCCCAGAACACACCTTCTGTGGGGCTCATCTTAGACCACACTGACCCCCGAATTTATTTTTTATAATGTGGAACTAAATGCTGATGGTGTAAAGAATTCCAGGGGGAACAGAAGAGCTGGAGGCCACGGGCAGCATTCACAGACCTCCAGAGGCCAGCAAAAATGCAAACGGGAAACTCCTGAAGGAGCCACGGTGATGAGACAGGTCTTCCCTAAAACTGAATTCTGCGGGGGGGGGGGGGGGGGGGGGCGGTGTCAAAAGGACATTTAGAAAACCATCAAGAAATAAGAGTATAAATAAAAAGGGAGCTGTTGTGGAGGAAGAATCTTCTGGAAAATGGCCTAAAACTCACAAGGGGCCCTCGAGTCAGAGCCCCGCCCACCCCCGCCCCCCCAGCCTCCCCCTCTGCCCTGCTGCACTCGCGCTTCCTCGTGTAGACCAAGGGTCTGTCAGGTGCCCATTTAACCTGCTTTGGCACTGGCAGGTCTGGCTTATTCCTCCAGCTCCTGGTGGGGAGTTCTGGAAGTTACCACGTACCTGGCAGAAACGAGCTCTTGCTTTTTTGCCCGTGTGAAACCTGATGTGGGAGGCCCGTGCTAGGCCTGCAGGCCAGTGACCGGGCCCGTGACCCCCACCTCGTGTGACTCACAGACGTGGCCATGTTCCCTCCCAGACTTTATTTTCCGCACAGAGTCACCACGCGGTAGGTGCACCCCTCCACAGTCACTCGGTCCCGCCCCGGGCCCCGGCCGGCCTCCCGCGGGCGGCTTCTCAGGAAGCCCGTCTCGGGACGAGGGACCACCTTCTCCCCCCGGCCCCAGCTGACTCTGGAAGACGCCGGTGGGATGGGGCCAGTCGGCCGGGCGCGGCGTCCGGGCTGTGTGGCGCAGTGACTCCCGGGACCCCCCCGGGAGCCAAGGCCGCGGTGCCTCATCACAGCCAGCACCTCCATCGTGGACGGCCACGGGCGGCTTTCCCTCTGCTCTGGGCAACCTGGCGAGCCCTGCTGCCCGGCAGACTTCCCATTTCACCCCCGGGGAGGCTCCGTGCCGTGTGCGAACGTGGGGGTGTCCCGCGTGCTCTCGTCGCGAGCACTTCAGCTAATTCAGCCCCTTCCTGAGCGGCTCTCTGCCCAGAGACCCCCAGGCGTGCCCGCGCGGGCTGCTGGACCGCTCCTGGCCGGGCCCCGAGTTCCAGAGAGGGGCTTCGGCGCCTGCCTCGGACATGGACGTTCGCGTGCCGGTTTGCAGCGTGACGGCGCCGAGGCCCGGTCCCTACTGTGCCTCGATTCTCGTGTCCATTACAGAAAATAGTGATTAGAAATAAAGGTGCAGGGTAAGATGAACCGGGAGGGAGGGGACGCCTGCCTGGGCGCCCGCCTGCCCCGCCCCTGCCGGCTCCTCAGGGCCCCTCGTCCTCGGCGGGCGGCTGCAGGTGTGCGAAGCTCAGGAACACTTGCTCCAGGGAGATCTGGCTCACGGAGTAGTCGTCCACTGCGTACTTCTCCTTGGCCTTCTCCAGGACACCAAACACCTTGTGGGAGCAGAAAGGCTGCTGCCAGCAAGCCCAGGGTGGGCTCCTCGGCTGGTGTGCGAAGTCCCCTGGCCACGGCGGCCGTAAGGCTCCCAGAGGTCCCAGCTCTGCCCCAGCCTGGTCCCCGGAGCACCTGCAGGGAGCAGCCAGCCCTTCGGGGAGCAGGGGGCTGTGCCGCACGGCGGGGGGCCGGGCCTCCCCCAATCTTGCCAGCTCAGAGTGTGACCCTGGGCAACATATATCCTCTTTGCGGGTCAGTTTCCTTTTTTACGCCGTTTTTTTTTTTCTGACTTAAGTGAACCTCCAGACCTAGTGGATTTGGGGGTGCGAGCTAGAGCAGAAAATGACTTTCCTCTTTGGAAGGAGCCTAGAGGCGCCACAGAAGGAGTCATTCCTGGAAGGGCCTTCCCCAGCCCCAGCTGTGCTGGCAGGGCCCACACTCACCTTGGCCCAGCTGAGGTCCTCCCCGGGCAGGTGGTAATGGACCATCCCTTGGTGCTCATCCTCCAGGACGCTGCCTGCACGAAGGAGACGCCGTGTCCCCGTGAGGGCCTGGCTGTGGGGGCCAGGGGAGAGCTGCCCGGGACCCTGGAATCACGGCCCTCCTCCCGGGGGTCGCGGGCCCGGGACTCGGCAGGGAGGAGGCACGGAGACACACCTGGGAAGGTCAGGTTCACAAACGCCTTGAACTCCTCCAGGGCCTCCTGCCGCCCTTCGCTCCGGACCTTGGCCCGCAGGGAGTAGCCGCTGCCAAACTTGCTCTTGAGGTGCTGTGGGCTGCCCAGGCACTTGAACTGGCCCTGCACCATGATGGCCAGCCGGGTGCACAAGGCCTCACATTCTTCCATGCTGGGGAGAGGGGCAGAGGTCTGACACGGGGCCGGGGCGCCGATGCCTGCCTCCCACGTCAAAGGCTCATGCGGGCGGGCCGGTGTTGTCGGCCAGATCGAGCTGTTCCCGATTCCCGTGTTCAGAGGGTGGGCCACACGGTTAAGCCCGGGGACTTTCTTCACAGATTCTGAACCAGCTGCTGGCTGGTCGTCTGTCCACCCGGCCCCACCCAACCCACCCCTTCCACACCCCCATTCTGGCTCTTCCATCGACCCCTAGAGACCCCGGCTCTACCTATGGGAGGTGATGACGATGGCCTTGCCCGACTCGCGGGCCCGTGCCACGGTGTCCCACAGCAGGCGCCGGGCCACGGGGTCCATGCCGGTGGACGGCTCGTCCAGGAAGATGACGGAAGGCTCTCCGAGCAGAGCAACGCCGGTGCTCAGCTTTCGCTTGTTGCCACCACTGGGGGCAGAGAGGGTGGGGTGAGACAAGGCTGACAGCACGGGCTCCCCATGTCCCGGCATCGGACAGGTCCCAGTGACTGCTGGGCGCCCCAGGTGAACAGGAATGAGGGCAGCGTGATGCCTGCGAAGCCGACCTTGCAGTGTCAGAGGCCCCACGGAGGCCTCTGTGCCCAGAGGCTGTGCCCAGGGTGGTCAGCCGACACACCGTCTGCACTAAAGGGGGCCTGACAGGGGCCCGACGCCCCCTTACTAGTGGCCTTGCCTCCGGGCAGCGGGAATGGGCAGAGCAGCCCCGTTCCACCCGGCACTGCCTGAATCATGCCCCCCAGTCCGCTTTCAAAGCCACATCAACGGGTATGGGCTCTGGCCCCCGACCCGTTTGGCTGCCCCCCGCTGTATCGTAAGGGAGACTCCAACTCTGCCCTGGGCAGACGTGGGGCAGGGAAGGGGACCCGAGCGCAGGCACACCTGTATGTCCTGACCAGCTTGTTGGCATGAGGCTCCAGAAGCAGGCCCCGAAGCGTGTTCTCCACGCAGGCGCCTATGTGGCGCTCAGGGATGCCCCGGAGCCGGGCGTACATGACCAGCGTCTCTCGGCCTGTCATGTGGTCCAGCAGAGCGTCGAACTGGGGGCAGTAGCCGATTCGCTGCCGTACCTGGAGGCAAGATGCGGCAGGTCAGAGGCGGGGGTCCCCCAGGCTCCGCCCAGCAGGTGTGTCTATGGCCACCCATGGCTCACGGCCAGCATGCTGCGCTTTGTCAGGGACACGGGACGTGCTTGGCCGGCTCGGGGAAGCGCACCTGCCACCCCACACCGATGGCGCAGAGGTGGGCCGGGGCCTAGGCGACCACGGGTGCGTGGGTGGGGTAGTGAGGACACGCGCTCGTCGCCGTGACAGTATCTGCTGTGCGACAGCTCATCCACCCATCAGGCATGTAACGTGTCTCAGGCCTTCCTTTCTTCTCTGATGGAGGGCACGTTTGCTGGCGACACCTTTGGGGTGGCTTGTCACCCAGTCAGGTGATGCGGTGGCAGGGCTCTGAGCGGTGGGCCCCGTCCAGCAGAGCCAGGGCCCCCTGGGGCCGGCACCTTCTCCCGGACCACTCTGGCTGGCGGGGGACCGTGGATCCCAGACACGGGATTTCTTTCTCCTCGCCTTCCTGGCCATTTCTAGGCTTCCAGAACCTGTGTTCAGTCGGCCTGGGAATACTCTCGGCCACTGCACCGTCAGTTAGTACCTTCCCCGGAACTCAGACTGGATGTACCCAAGAGTCCCCTCCCTCCCCAGCCTCACATTTATGGTTTTCTCTTGCCCGCGTATGTTTCTAATCTCGCTTATTCCCTTCACCATGGCAAACACAGACGTTTTATGACCTGGGCCTGGCGGCTG